GCCACATTTTGAATGCCCGGAGCCAACTGTAGGCCACTTCGTGCTCTTCGACTTCCCAGAACTCTATTCCCGGGCCACATTTTGGATGCCCGGAGCCAACTGTAGGCCACTTCGTGCTCTTCGACTTTCCAAAACTTAATTTCCGGGCCACATTTTGGATGCCCGGAGCCAGCTCTAGGCCTCTTCGTGCTCTTGGACTTCCTAGAACACCACTCCCGGGCCACATTTTGAATGCCCGGAGCCAACTGTAGGCCACTTCGTGCTCTTCCATTTCCCAGAACTCCACTCCCGGGCCACATTTTGAAAACCCGGAGCCAACTGTACGCCACTTCGTGCTCTTCCACTTCCCAGACTTCCAAGACTCATCATCTTCATCATCATCATCATCGTCCCCGTAGCCTTCTTGGCTACAGCCCTGCTTTCGAAGATTTTCTTTCAAAGGAACTGCGCAGCGCCTACTGCGCACCTTAATGCCAAGACAATTCCTAACAGCGAATACTGATATATTTCTAATGGTCTCAAAAGACAGCATCTTGACTCCTCAGGGGGGTCTGGGCAGATGCCGGACGGGTGCCGGGGAGAATCCGCGGAAGTCGTTTTAAGAAACGGTTACACACTTCGTGGTCTTCGAGGTCCCAGAACTCCATTCCCGGGCCACATTCTGAATGCCCGGAGCCAACTGTAGGCCACTTCGTGCTCTTCGAGTTCCCAGGACTCCATTCCCGGGACACATTTTGAATGCCCGGAGCCAACTGTAGGCCCCTTCGTGCTCTTCGAGTTCCCAGAACTCCATTCCCGGGCCACATTTTGAATGCCCGGAGCCAACTGTAGGCCACTTCGTGCTCTTCGAGTTCCCAGAACTCCATTCCTGGGTATGATTTTGAATGCCCAGAGCCAACTGTAGGCCACTTCGTGTTCTTCAAGAGTTCCCAGAACTCTATTCCCGGGCCACATTTTGAATGCTGAGGCAGGCTGACGCTGAGGCTGAGGCAGGCTGAGGCAAAGGCAGGCTGACGCTGAGGCCGAGGCTGAAGGCAGACTGAAGCTGAGGCTGAAGCAGGCTGAGGCTGAGGCAGGCTGAGGCTGAGGCTGAGGCAGGCTGATGTTGAGGCAGGCTGAGGCTGAGCAGGCTGATGCTGAGGCTGAGGCTGAGGCAGGCTCAGGCCGAGGCTGAAGGCAGACTGAGGCTGAGGCTGAAACAGGCTGAGGCTGAAGCTGAGGCAGGCTGAGGCTGAGGCAGGCTGAGGCTGAGGCTGAGGCTGAGGCTGAGGCTGATGCAGGCTGAGGCTGAGGCCGAGGCTGAGGCTGAGGCTGAGGGCAGACTGAGGCTGAAGCTGAAGCAGGCTGAGGCAGGCTGAGGCTGAGGCTGAGGCAGGCTGATGCTGAGGCAGGCTGAGGCTGAGGCTGAGGCTGATGCAGGCTGAGGCCGATGCAGGCTGAGGCTGAGGCCGAGGCTGAAGGCAGACTGAGGCTAAAGCTAAAGCAGGCTGGGGCAGGCTAAGGCTGAGGCTGAGGCTGAGGCTGAGGCAGGCTGATGCTGAGGCAGGCTGAGGCTGAGGCTGAGGCTGAGGCAGGCTGAGGATGAGGCAGGCGGAGGCTGAAGCCGAGGCTGAAGGCAGACTGAGGCTGAGGCTGAAGCAGGCTGAGGCCGAGGCTGAGGCAGGCTGAGGCTGAGGCTGAGGCAGGCTGATGCTGAGGCAGGCTCTGAGCTGAGGCTGATGCAGGCTGAGGCTGAGGCAGGCTGAGGCTGAGGCCGAGGCTGAAGGCAGACTGAGGCTGAGGCTGAAGCTGAGGCTGAGGCAGGGAGGCTGAGGCTGAGGCAGGCTGATGCTGAGGCAGGCTGAGGCTGAGGCTGAGGCTGATGCAGGCTGAGGCTGAGGCAGGCTGAGGCTGAGGCGAGGCTGAAGGCAGACTGAGGCTGAGGCTGAAGCAGGCTGAGGCTGAGGCTGAGGCAGGCTGAGGCTGAGGCTGAGGCAGGCTGAGGCTGAGGCAGGCTGAGGCTGAGGCTGAGGCTGATGCAGGCTGAGGCTGAGGCAGGCTGAGGCTGAGGCCGAGGCTGAAGGCAGACTGAGGCTGAGGCTGAAGCAGGCTGAGGCTGAGGCTGAGGCAGGCTGAGGCTGAGGCAGGCTGAGGCTGAGGCTGAGGCAGGCTGAAGGCTGAGGCTGAGGCAGGCTGAGGCTGAGGCAGGCTGAGGCTGAGGCTGAGGCTGAAGGCACTGAGGCTGAGGCTGAGGCTGAAGGCTGAGGCTGAGGCTGAGGCAGGCTGAGGCTGAGGCTGAGCCCTGAGGCTGAGGCTGATGCAGAGGCTGAGGCTGAGGCAGGCTGAGGCTGAGGCCGAGGCTGAAGGCGACTGATGCTGAGGCTGAAGCAGGCTGAGGCTGAGGCTGAGGCAGGCTGAGGCTGAGGCAGGCTGAGGCTGAGGCAGGCTGAGGCTGAGGCTGTGACTGCGATTGCCGTTGCCGCTGCGACTGTCATCGCGAATGCGACTACGACTGCGAGAA